TTTCCAATTAAAACATTGCATGTTATTTGGGGAAGTGACTGGCAAAAAGACACATATGACCCTATTTATATTTAGGGGATGAAGTAAAGACTTGTTGTACCCAGGTATCATCTAGAACTCCAGCAAGGCATCTGAGTTTGTTTTAATGACAGACTCCCAGGTGTGAATTCTCGCAGTGTAGCCACATGGTACTTGGCAAATGAGGAAGGTTTTGAGGAACAGAAGAATGAATCTTTAATTGGAGCAAAAACTTCTTCCTGCTTTGGGCTGATGAATGTGAAAGTACTTTCTAGAGTCTGCAGGATTATACAGCATAGTTATTATTCCTGTCCTTAAATATCATCATTCCATTTGGTTTGGTGTTAAAACTATAACTTGCTCATAAATTTTATACAGAATGAAATCCTAAAACTTGAGTCTTCAGCCTTCAAAATGTAACCCCAGCCTATCTTTGCAAACTTAAGGTTTTTTTTTTTTTTTTTTTGGAATTATACTCTGTTTAGTATTTATTTCATCTTTCACACTTTTCATGCAAATATTCACCTCCATTATTTGACAGAATTCTGCCTTTTAAATGCCTTCCATTTCTAATCATGATTTAAATTGCACTGTCTTCCCTATTGTTCTCTTGAACCATCTCATTTTATTTTTAATATTATTATTTTTATACACTTTTGGCTTTTCCTGAGGGACGTCATTATAAGTTTGAAGTGTAGAAATCATTTTTTTGTATTTGTATCTTCTTTTATACTTATTACAGTGACAGTGTACGGTTATATTTCATGTTGGTTACTTTTCTGTTAATTGTTGAGGCAAAATGCCTAATCCCCAAAATTAAGGAAGGAAGGGTTTGTTTAGCTCACAGTTTGTGGAGTTTCAGTCCATAATCAGCTGGCTCCAAGGCAGAGTGGTGTGGCAGAGGGCAACAGTTCATGATGGCAGATGACAGCAAAAGCAACAAGAGAAAAATGGAGGAGCACAAGAGAAGACTGTTTTGGTCCCTTGTGTTGTGTTAGGCCATCCACCTAGGTTGGATGTAGCACTCACACCCATAACCCCAGCATTGGACCATGAATTGATTACTGAATTCAAAAAACCTGCCCCCGTGACTATATGAGGCTTTAAGGGGACATCCAGACTCAAACCATAATATGTATGTAGAATTATTGATTGATCAAGTTGTACATCATCATTTCTTTTTTATTTGTAGAAGCAATAAAAATTACGTGTTTGAGTATGGGGAAAAGATGTGTATAAAAATACTAGCAAAGATAATCAAATTTGAAATGTCAATTTTTTCATGTTCTCTGATTTTTGGTATGTCTCTTAAATTTATTGATTAAATGGTCATGGATTTGAAAATAGTACTTCAGTCAATAAATATCTCTTCATTGAATGACAGGAAATTGATTGTACAATTTTGGCCTAGTTTCAGTTCTCAGAATTACACTCTTTAATAATATTAGTAATCTGGACATTAGTTCTTTGAAATATGAGAGAACTATAATATTCCTGCTACCATACATTAACTTGTACATCTTTAATGAAAGAGTAAAAAAGTTATCCACAGGAAAAACTCACAGCATGAGTGATGGGAAAGAAATTCCCTTAGATTTACATAAGAGATAAAGAAGCTTTAGTAACATCAGCACTAACAGTAAAAGCAAAACAGTTTTGAGAAAATTAAGTGATACTTCAGAGATCAGAAAGGAAAAAAGTTGAAATTTTTATTGGCAGAATGCACCCAAATACTGGAACTCTCCATTAGGTTTACAGGTTAGTGAGGGATAGAGTGTTTGGGGAAACAATGAAATTTAGAGAGTAAAGGCCCTTGGGAAACCGTGAGTTAAATTAAGCATGAGACACCTGTGTTTCTCAGTGAACTGGGGAGTTGAAACAGTGAAGGGAATTAGTCAAATTTCAGTAAGCGTGATGATTGGAATTGAAACTATAAAGAACTTGCTTGAAGCCCAAATACATGAAGTGTCAAACTTACTTAATAGCTAGAATCTTTAACTCTTAACTGAGTTATTTGTGTTTAGTTTATAAAATATGATTGCATCTCAAAGGGTACAATGGCAGAGTAAACATTTTATGATGGGGGCCAATATTACTAATTTTTAACTGTATTTGTAATAGGAGAATTGGAAACCAGCTTAGTTTTTCAACAGTAGAGTAGTAGCTAAGAGATACTGATTAAATCAATTCTGTGTAGACATTACAATCCTTTCACAAATTCTCTTATTTGATATAAAATGTTTGTGACATTTGAGAGAAAGGCATTACTAACTATGTAATGTAGGATATGTTTTTAAAGAATGTTTCATATGTGTGTAAAGAAAGAACTGATAGGATTTACATTAAAACGTTTATTACCCTAATGTTTGGATGGTAAGTGACACGGTTTTCATGTTCTTTTTGTCTTTCTACTTTTTCTTCTTTATTTAAAAATTAGAGGTCAAATATATAAAAGTAAAATATCCAATCTTAGCTGAAACAACAGGTTCATCAAAAGTTAAAGGTAAACCTTAACTTTGGGGAATTATTTATAAATACTGAAGAGAGAATGAATTATTTTTCTGAAGAATTATACCCCTAGAAAATGCTGACCAGTGAGGTAAATGGTTATTTAATTATTTCTCATGTTTATGGGTGACCCTACAGATCAAGTACTGCTCTAAGAAAGCCATCTTCCAAGGGTGCATGACCTTGTAACAATCCAGAGGGGTGGATTCCTTTAAGGCCTTTCCTTTAGCCAGGTGAACCAGCTCTGAAACACTGTCACTTACAGGAAGAAGTTATGTAGGACACATTCTAGTTCACGTTCATCTCTAGTCAGTCACATTTTCACATCTCTAACATACAACATATGGCGATGGTGTGAAAAGACAGAGGGCGAGGGACCTAGGGAAAGAAGGAACATGGGCATTTCCACGGGTTTCCTTGGTTATGTTGCAGGGGAAATGAGTTGTGCATCTCAGAGGCTGATTTGGAAAAGACCATTGGCTCCAGAACTAGAGACAGAAAAAGTCACAGTACTTAAACACGTCTCTGCATCTGGATCACTCAAAAGCATCCACCACAAAGAGATGAATCCTAGACTCTCCCTGTTACATTTCAAGCCTTTCAATTTGTTGCTTCCATTGTGCAGGGACATCAGCACCTTCTGGTTTTGGTTCCCCGAATATCACAATAATGTACTTAGCACCTGACTTGAATTCACCAAGAATTCATAGCCACATGTTGTGACAGCAGCATTTGTTGTAATTCTACCCAAAGTAAAAACAAATTGATTTTAATCAGAATCCAGCGGCTTGATGTCTCTATCCAGTGACTTTACAAAACCCTTTCTTGTTTGATCACTGATTTTGAAGACCTCCAAAGTTTTATCTCCTGCACTAATGCTTCTGAGATACCTCATTTCTGTGCAGTACTCTATTCAGTGTAGAGCTGTGGCTTGCCTTCCCTCAGTTGTATTGCAAAGTCGTATTACCTTCTTCACATCCTATGTGGTTTTCAGACAGGCACTAAACATCTCACCATACAATTTCAGTTCTTCCTTTCCAGGTTTTTTCCCCCTACAATCTTTAGTTTCTAGAAGGTTTCTATTATGTCCTCATTTATTATTCTTCATAAGAAGTCTCAGATTTGTGAATTTCCATTGCAGCCAGCCCTGATGTTTCTCCTAGTCACAAAGTCTTTAGTTCTTCTGGCCAGCAACCTTCCTTAGAGCTTCTGGCCACTGTGTAGACAAGGCAGATTGGCTGATAGTACCTGCTTGTAGGTTCAGAGTCTGAACTAGAAAGTGGGGATGCAGCCACAGTGAGGCTGGATGGAGAGCCATAAAGTTCAAACTGCATGGAAAGGTTTGCAGAGTATTCTCTACCTGGATATCAAGAGTTTGGTTCAGCAAGGTCCTCCACCCTCTGACTTAGCTGGAGTTGTGGGCTTTTACTTGCCATCCATGCCTTGAATTTGGCAACTGAAAGAAGCAATAGTCATACTTTACTTTGTATTTTTAAACTCTTACACTGTCTGTATTCCTTTGTATTTGCTTAATTTGGATTCCTTACTTGATACTCATTTCGTGGTTTTGCTTTTTCTTCTGTCATGTCTTTTAATGCACCATGTTTTCTGTGTCTTTTGTTGTTGTGCTTTTCATTTCTATTCTTTGTTGCATACCTTAGCTTTTCAATATAGTGCTTAGTTATACAAATTTTTTAGCAAACTCTAAAATTAAGTCATTATCTTTCTGATGTATTTATCTGATTTATGCATTGTAGAATGACTACTTTTGTAGTAAATGTATTATTATGCTTTGAGTGGAGGAGGAAAGATTCTATGTGAATATATGCCTAGTCTTAACTCATATCATTCTTATGAAAAAAATTAACTGAAGGAGGAATAAACATACCTAAGCTTTCTGGTCTGTTAGGCATAATTAAACTAGAGAAAACACTGGTTCTTTGTGTAATTTACTTAGTGATTCAGCTGAAGTAGAACTTGGGACATCTATTCTGGGGAATCCCTGGTTTTGATTCCTAAAAGGTTTTAAAATTGCCAAATGATTTTTAAATTCCTAAAAGGTTTTAAAAATGCTTTTGACAAAAAGATACAACACATGAATAAAAGTCAATTAAAAGGGAAAATGGTCTATGGAACTAATTGAAGACAGAACCCTGTGTTGCATTTCTTTCCTTGTATAACATGTAAATAATCTTGAACCTCTTCTTTAGTAACTTGCTGTTTGATATTTGTCTGTGCGTATCTTTTTGAGTTTGTTGTTTTATTAGTGGCAAAATAGCTCATGTGCTCATGTCCATGACAATATTACAAAGCTAGACATTTGAATGACAGAGTAATGAAGTGTGAGCCATTGTTCTAGATATGATCACTTGAATTGCAGCCCCATAAAGGCAAATAAATATATTCTTTTAAGGTTTTTGAACTTACAAATCACATTTAAAGCTGACAGCATATCAAAGTGAAGAGGCTAACCAAGCTTTGTGCAGTGGCTGTATCATAACCGATTATGTTTAGCTGAAGCATGATTATTGCTAATTGAAAAGGCTAACCAAGATATCATTTGAAAGTTCTTCTAGTTTGCAGTGATATGGCTGCCTAAGTAAATTAATTTAAAAAAAACAAGAAAAACAAAATTCTTTTGTAAAAACTGATAAATTATGGGTAAAAAGAACATTTAAAAATGCATAGTTGTTTGTGTGAAAGAGAAATTCCTAAATGCCAGAAATGAAATGAAGAAATTAGTCCCTATACTGGGGTGAGTTTTCAGCATAGTCTCAGAATGAACCCAGTCGTGTTTTCTGTGGTCTGGGGTTTTCAGATGACACCTGTCCAGGTTCATATTATTAAAACCTTGGAAACTGGGGCAGACATTTTTGCACAATGCTAGGACCCTAAGAGTGCTTCTTCTGTAGTGAAAGGAAAATGAATATAAAACCCGTAGTTCAAATAAGTATTTGAATTATTAGACAACCTTAAATCTCTTACAAGGCATTGATATCTCATCCTGTTCCTTAAGTAGGTTTTTAAAACTGAATTTATGTTACATGAATTGTAATATTATCCCTAAGAAAGGAACATTAAACTTGATCTTTGGTCAGTGATACCTCATAGTGTAGTACCTTTCCTATATAGCCTGAGCTTATACCCTTCTCAAAAGCAACTAAGTTTAAAAAAAAAACAAAACAGAAAAATACTAAGAAATGCTGCTTAAAGAGCCAATATTTTGGTTTTATCGTTTCTCTTGACATGTTTTCCATGTTTTGCACAAAATGAAGTAATGGATATGTATTTGTTCTTGTCTTTGTGCTAAAAGGATAAACCACCATTTATGCTTTAAAAACTTTATAACCATGCCAAGGACTCAATTTCAAATTGTGATACTTCACCAGGTTTCTTAGAGAAAACATTTAGGAGAATCAAAGTTTTACTTTGGAGGCAAATACATTGCAGTGAGTTGAATTTATAAAGTAAATACAGTAAGAAGTGACTTATGTTTTTGCTTTTTCTTCATCTTCTTTAGTAGTATTTATTTTCTCCTAATCTCCTACACATATCCTTTCTGGGCTACAGCCTTTTACTATTGGACATTATTACACATTTTCTTTTATAGACCACATGTTCCACACACTTCTGTGAGGATATGGAAATTCCAGGACTCCTTAGCTTCGAAGACAGTGCCAGTTGAGGCAAATTGTTCTGATCAAATCTTTGAAGATTCTTTTTTGTTATGTCTTGTCTTATACACTATATAACAAATAGCAGAAGAATTTATAGTTTGCCCATATTTATGTACATTGTGAATGACTTATTGATTTGAAAACAATTCACCTACCTGTGATTCATTTGAATTTCAGAGTGTTTTGGGATCCAGAGCCCTTAGATAGTTTTGAATTTTTTACCTTTTCAAACTTTTCCATATTGGACATTTTATAGCTCTAGATTATAAAGTATATATATATATATATATATATATACACACACACACACACACACACACTTTTACACTTTTTTTAATCAAAGAACTCTTTAAATCCTGGTATAATGGTATAAGATAATATGACAGGTAAACTGGACTGTGAACCTGATTGGCTTGAGAGCCACGTAGGAGATTAATAAAACACCCTCCTAGGTGTCTGGGTGAGTTATGAAGCCATGACCTTGGGTTTTGTATCTGTTCCCTAGCCCCTTCCTGTCTAGCACTGTTACCCTGATCTGCTTGCTGGTCAGCATGAACTAAGTGGCTTTGCTTCACTGTTCCCCTCTGTCATGGACTTGAATGACCTCTGAAACCATGAAACCAGAGTAAACCTCTTCCTTTAAATTGTGAGTGTCAGTTATTTTATACTACTAACAGGAAAACTGACTAATACAGAAAATTGATAGCAGAAAAATGAGGCACCTAGCTATGTGGTTCAGAAGTCTTTGGAATTGGTTTGTTGTTCCAAAGAAATATTTGAATGTGCAGACTAGAGAAAGCCTTGAATGCTGTTAGCAGAATGGGACTGGTAATTCCAGTCAGAGTTTAGAAGACTAGAATGTTTATAGGAATGTACACAGTAAAGACCAGACTCAGCAAGTTTCAGGTGAAAATAAAGACTATTGGGAATCGGACTAGAGACCAGGTGTGTTACATTGTGGAAAAACAGAAAACAAAAAACAAAACAAAACACCCCCCCCCCCGATTGTGTCTGTGTTTTACTCGTATCCTAAGACTGTGTGGAAAGCTTTGTTTAGGGAGGTGGACCAGTAGAGCTGATTGAAGAAGTTTTAAGGCATCCCAGGTTGTGACATAGGTACTGCTGGCTGCTTTTAGCCATATTTACACTGAAAACTGAGTAAAATGAAGAACAGAAAGATTTGAAAAATTACTATCCTTGTGATGCTGAGCATTCAATAGCACAAAGTGCAGGAGTTGTAGGATCATAGAAGCTTCCACTCAGATTTCAGATAAAATGTGCTCCTGAGAGATCAATGCATAAAGCTGTGGGAATGAAGTCAAAGGTGCAGTGAAAAACACTAGAAATTGCAGATACCAAGAACATGAAACATGTGAGGAAATCCACAGATAGTGAGCAGAGCAGTCCCCCCCAAAAAACTGTGTGTGCTATAGTCAATAAGGCTACAGGAGTAGAGCTATCCAAAGCTTCCTAAACTAACAGTTTAACTACCACATGCCTTGGATTGTTTGCCCAGGTGGGTTTCATTACTGCTTTGCTTTCGTTTTCTTCTGTTCCCTTATTTCTAAATAATAGGAAGGTTTACCATGTGTCATTGAATCTTGGGGTTATGTAACTTGCTATTTGATTTTTATAGGGGCTCACAGCTAACAGATAACTGGAGTCTCAGAAGAGACTTTGGACTTGAACTTTTGAGACTAAACTGTTGAGATTTTTGGAGAATAAATTAGTTTCCTTTTTGGTTTTATGTGGAATGGTTATATTTGGCAGAATTGTAACTTCATGTTAATTGGAGATTATACTTTAAAAGACATGCTTGGGTGTCAGGTTGACAAGAGTTGGATTGGGGCAGTGAAGCTGGTTGTCATCTTGATTGGTTTAGGTTTAGGAGCTGCTTAGGGGACTAGAAAGTGCACTTCTGGGTGTTTCTGGGTGGAGGAGCTGTGCAGTCTTGGGACCTTTATCTCATTCCTTGCCCCTTCCTCTCTCATACTATTTCCTGCTCTGCTTTGCATACATCATGAACTAAGCAGCTTTGCTCTGCTGTGCTCTGTGTTTCTGCCTTAGAACCAGCCAATCATGAACTGAACCCTTTGAAACTGTGAGCCAAAATAAAGTTATTATTGTTTGAGCTGTGTGTGTCAAGAATTTTGTATCAGCAGTGGAAAAATGACTAGAACAGAAAAGCTGTAACTTGATGATTATGGATACTGCAGATATAAGTGAAGCTCTCAATCTTGGAAAAATTTAACTAAATGTATTAATTCCACAAATTCTAGTATTTCATTCATCCTTATCTCTTAATAACATTGCCATCTTTCTTCCTATTATTTCTCTATAAAATTGTATTATGAATATAGATTTGTTCTGTGTCTAGATTTATAAAATTAGAATCCCTGTAATATGTTGATTAGATTTTTTGTTTGAAATATATTTCACCATATCTTAGAATATTTCAAGACAGTTGCTCTGTGACTATACAGAGTTGGATAAATGAAGACCTTGTTGAAGATGCAGATCTATGTGAATTGGTAGGGAGATAACTGAGCTGGTTGTTTTTGAGGCAGCGGAATCACAGCTTTCCTAATAAAACTGCTGGACATGGAGCAGTACCTTCTATCTAGAGATTGCTCAAAAGGAGCAGGGTCTTGAATATTAACTCTAAATCTGTAAAATGGAAAACAATACATATCTCCCTTCCTTTTATTTAGGATATGTTAACAACTCAGAGTAAATGGTATCAATAATTCTAGCATTTCTCTATCTCATATTAACACAAAACAATAATGTAGATTTTATGCTCAGAAAGCTTGGCCAGTGATAACTTTGGTTTCATATTTTTTATGACAGAGCTTCTCACCACTTTGATGGTAATGTGCATTGTAATTATCCAAGAAAGAAGTAGAATATGCATCGTACTCTGATTATACTTAATTAGGGAATCTTTTATTTTACACTCTCCATTAAAATCTCCGTAAAACATTATTCTAAAGTACAGACATGGGAGAGTTGTGTACACAGAGCATAGTATATGTTGTATCTCTTGCAGAACCATTGCTTTATGAGTCATCAAGAGCATAGCCTTATGTTAGATACTAAGTAAAAATTACTCCTCAAATTTCAGAAAGTGTTTTAAAACCATTCTCATTTAGATTATGATTGTTAATGTTGAATTTACATTCTCGGTTGTGCTACTTATATCTCACTTATCATATACTGTCGATCAGCTTTTCCACTGATGGTGCAGAATATTCAGAGTTAAAATGAGGAAAAGTTTGTTTTAGCTTAGTTTCAGAGGTTTCAGTCTAGAACAGCTGTATCCAAAGCAGAGAAACCACTATTTGAATGGAGCAAAGCCACTCACTTGAGGGTGGCCAGGAAGCTGAGCACAGGCAAACAACAACCTCAAGGAGTAAATGAATCTATAAATGAGTATAACACTTTTGTGATTCATTAATGTCTCCAGCAGTCTCTTACTCCAGTCTTGCTGATATTAAGATTAGCTTCCACAGAAATCTAAGCCCCAGTTTCCTCATATGTATTATGGAAATATAATAACATTTAAAATTTCAAGGCACAGACTTTGTCTAGATATTTCTAATCCTTACGCAAGTTCTTTGAAAGATATTAAGAATGTAAGGATATTTGAAAAGAATCACAGACTTGCTAAACTTGAATAACAAGATGATGTCCAATTTGCAGCTGTTTTTGCAGGCCTAAAAGGAGATGCAAAACAATGAAAAGATCCCTGTGCACTGAGATTAATCTTAGAGATGGTATCTTGGACTTGAACTTGTTTTAATGCCATAATCTTTCATAGATTTAATTTCTACTACTAGGTATAAAGATAAATAAAACACATTACTAAGAAGATCTGGATTTTATACATATACATATGAAGAGAAAATATATTCACCCTCTTTGCTTGGAATTTGTCCTACT